AGACGCAGTTCGCGCAACTTCGCTTTGGCTCAAGGCTCATGGCTCAAGGCTCAAGTGAAAAGGGAACCGCTGCGCGAGCTCTGCTTTTCACATCAAGAAGCTGGAGATGTACAAGAAAGCCGAGCACAAGGGGTTTCTACATTACATTATCAGCAACGACGGATCGAGTCTCTGCTAGTGTTTCGAAAGAAGGTTCTCTTATGTTCGCATGTGTATGATGTGTGCACACATGCTTCCAGATTTGGTGCGGGACCGTTGTCCTCGCTTCGGCTGACATGCCCCTTGTTGTCCTAGTGGGTTATCCGCATCCTGCTACGGCCTCATTGAGCACGGCACTGGCCCAGCAAGTCACAGAAATGAATGATCAGGCCATTCTGCCAGCATGGCCTCCATGCATGCTCTGCGCTGTTCCTTAGAAGGCTTGCCGTGCGGAAGCGATGTACGGCGCCAGTACTGATGCTCCGTTTTCTTTTCAAATCATTCTCACTCCGAAAAACGGAAGTAGCAGTGATGCAGAACTCTTCATCGCCAGGTTTTGAAGCGCATCTTTGTGCAAGGCAGTTTTGTTTTCTGCGGAATATCAACCCAGGTTCTGGTTCGGTGAAACCTTGGATTGGAGTTCAACCCAGCACTCGCAGGAAGAATGTCGGCAGAGCGTTTCAGAGTGAAGATGAGCCAGCAGACGTTTGAGCGTGGGGTGCAGTTCTGTGCGACCATCCACACTATTTTTCATTGAGAACAAGTGCAGAGCAGTGTCATTAGCCAGCCCTGTCTTCGCATCTTACGCAGGCACGAAACGTGCAATAGCTGTGCGGACGCAGGGCTACATTTTGCAGAGGTGTTCCATCTGAATTTATGAGGAGGACTTAAAATAATTCAATCAATTGAAGTCCTCTTCAACAAGGCCCCCGCTTGGAATAGCCAGGATAGGCGGCTGTGCTTGGCTTGGCATCGGAGTAGCTCGAAGTGTTTCAAGTTTCAAGCTCCATGCGGTTTTTTCTGCAAGCTTGGTGCGCTTGAGGGCCTCTTCCATGAAGCTGAAATCCTTCCAATTTGGTCTCCAAGAACCGTCGTTCAAGCTTATTTTCGTGAGGTTTCGAGTCGTGGGTTCTTCCTATCTGGTTTTTTGGTTGTTTCACAGTACGATCTGTTGCGTTGTCTTGGCTTCGAGATCGATTTGTTAACGTTGTACGCGCGTCTTTGCTTCGAAATCTGCCCAGTGCCAAAAAGTACGATTTTTGGCCTCGGCCATACATAGTCATGCCATGCCAGAGCAAAACCAGTGTCCGATAAGTTGACATCAGGTTGGCAGATTTTCCCATTGCAGCGCTGTGGTACGCCCATAAACTTTTGGGGTTGCATCTAAGGATTTCATCAGGTGTCGACGCTGTTCGGATGCGGATGCATCGCTTGCGGCTGAAAAAAGCAAAAAGCTTTGGTCGATGCTTTTCGTCGCTCTTGAAGAGATCTGAGCATAGATCTGATGACGCAACAGTGTGCGTCTCGTCGTGGACGAGGATCAGCTCCCTCTCTTTCGCCAGCTTCAGGGCCTTGCTAAACGCGAAAGCATCTCTGTCAATCTTACTGTCCGTGGCTTTCTCGATGGTTTCTATGATGCCTCCTCTCCAAACATAGTTTTAACGAGGCTCTGTTTTGCTGGCAGAGAGCCAGCCGGCCGAAGCGAGCCCGCCGAGCCATTCGCATTTCTACAGTTTGTCCTAGGCCGTAAAGGCGTATATATATTATAATACCCTAAGGGCTCAGAACACACCGGCAGAGGTGATAGCTGTAGCCCCAGGCACGACGGTGCCGACAAGTCGCCACGGGCAAAAGCAGCCCCTCGTGGCATAGGCGTGCGAGAGCTAAAAGGTCTCGTACGCGTACGGCGCTTAAAAAAGGGTTCCCCGTGAGCCATACAGCAGCCCTGGCATTGGCGGGACACCACGGTCTGTGCTCCGCAGCAGCCAGAGGTATACTCTTACGTATGGGCAAGGCGGACCGCAGGCCATGGCGCGAGAGCAAAGAGCCGGAGGCATGGCAAAGGCCTCCTTCTTCTGGCAAGTGGGACTACTGGCCTGGGTCGTGGAAAGCGTCGCCCAAGGCCAAGGCGCGCTTTCCATCCTACGATCGCCAGTGGAGCCCCGAGCAGATCACGGTCGTCAAGGAGGAGCGCTTTGCTGGCACTGGGAAGGAGGAAGAGAGTGTGGCGAAGCCAGTCCAGCAGGCTGTCAATACCCTGCGCAAGGCAGAGGCCAGAGTGGCAAGGATCTGCAGAGAACAAAAGGAGAAGGCGACTCGCTGGGCTGCGTACCAGCGAGAAGTGAAAGCAGCATTCGTGGAGGAAGAAAAGAGGCATGGGAATGCTCAAGAGCGCTTGGCAGGAGAACTTCAAGAAGCACACCAACAGCAGGCAGCTGCGAAGCAGGTTCTCGCACAGACCATGGAAGCCATTTTTGGATCAGCCATGGATGTTTCCAGGGACTCGACCGGATCGCAGCAGCCATCGTCGGCGACATGGGACCGCATGTTTGGGAGTACAGGTGCGGTTCCGCCGCAAGCCGCAGTGGATCCAGACCTGTTGGAGCTTTTGAGGATGTACAAGAATGGGCAGCTTCCTGGCCTTACTGGACATCCTGGCAAAGTACATGCCGAGACAAGTGGGCCTATGCAGGCTGCGGATGGTTGGCCTACAGGCGAGGACTTGCCACGGGGCCCAGTGTCCCATGCTTACAGGGCCCCTTCTTATCCACGTCCTGCGCCGTATTTGCCGAGCTCGCCCAGCCTACAAAAAGCTGCACTGGACACCACCAACAGTGCTCCTCCGGGTCATCCAGTGGCCGAAAGTGGAATCAGTGCCCGCCCTTCGCCGCCTACGACATCCGAGCCTTTGGGTGTGCATGCGAATCCGGGTCCTACGGAAGCAGTGCAAGCCTCCCTTGGCATGGTCGAGGAAGCTTCCCACCAGCCGCCCATGACGGAAGTGAGGCTCCCTGCCAAGAACGACAACCCGGTTTCTCCCCTGGCAGATATGCTTCGGGCGAGACGTCGAGAAGTACGACATGCCATGGAACCCTTCGGGGCTCCGCGCAAAGCCGAGCCGACGGCGGATTTGCCCCCGCCAGATCCAGGTCCAGCTCCTACAGCAACGACTACGGGGCCCAGTTTTGTGGAAGACGACGACGAGGAACTGGACCAGGCAGCGCCGGGCACAACCTCTCCGGGCCTTGGCAAGTTGGAGTGAGGACACTGAGGAGCGTTAGGCAGGGGCCGTCTTCGCAGTTTCGTCTTTTTCGCTGGGAAGATGAGCTTGAGGGACCAAACGGCTGGACGGTTTCTGGGGTTAAACCGTCCTGCCCAGCGTTTCCCTCCGGCGATCGTCTTTTCAGGGGAATGGATGGTTGTGCTGACTTCTGGTCCCTGCTTTCTCACCCCTGTTTTTGTACAGGTCCTGTTTTCCATGTCGAGAGAGTGTGCCAGGGCCATGTGGGCTCACCTCTTTCGCTTCCACGTCTGGGCTGTCTTGCCCTCTATCCTCATCCTTTGCAGGGAGTTTTTCCTGTGTCGGCACCTTGGGCTTTGGTGTATCGGCACAGGATCTCCCACTCCTCGCGAAGGCAGCTGGTCGACATGGAATGTCGTCTCGGTTGCTTTCCCCCGCCATGCACCGTGCCTTTTGATTTGCACGACGTGCTTTCACTTCAGCCGGACAGAGTGCCTAATAACTACATCGGTGGCTCTGGGGTAGTAACCTGTTCCGGTTCTTCAGTGGCTGTACGAAAGTTCTCATCAAGGTTCCTCCCAGGCGAAGCAGGTGCCAAGCTGGACTTCCGCCCTTTTGCTGTCTTAAGCCAGTGGATAGCGCGGGCCATTTCAAGCTTTTTGCCACCCCTGCGCTTCATTGTTTTGGTCGTCTTGTTCCAGCTTTTGATCAGGAGTGCCCTCACTCCAAGAAGGCGCTCGATTCCGCTTCACAACAAAGGTCCTGGTAGCCTGCCACTTGGTGTCATCCTGGCTTTCTCATGCTTCTCTGTCAGCCAGGCTCAGGTATCAGGCTATCGCACAGCGTCAGACCGCAGGTATGGTCGTTTTGGCAGAGGTCCCAGGTACCGGCGTGGCACTTATCTGGCCGACTGGCTCCGGAGCCTGGGCCTTTCGAGGGCCTGGTGCTTCTTACTAGGCTTTCAGACCTTGCCTATATCGGTATGTGCTGTACCGGCGGGACTTCCCCTGCTGATCAAGCACGCTTCCGGACTGGTTGCACTTTTGCCAGAAAAGTTGCCGAACCCAACCACCGAGGAGGATCCTGCCAGGTCTCACCCGGACAGCCGCTGGGTTTACCCACACATTGCCGAGGTCACCGATGCGTCCTGCACAGCGACCGATGTGCCCAAACACTGTATCCTGTTTCAAGCCGGCCATTCAGTGCGACATTTCCTGGCGTATCTTCAACCGCCCCTCACGAAGCCTGCGCTTGTGCAAGAGGCGCTCGACCACTACCCCGAGCTCCAGGATCATTGGGTGTTGCACGAAACATTGCCACAGGTTGCTGATGGGGCTGCTTCTTTTGTGGCAGTTCCTCGGTGGACTCAAGGTGCGGACAAGACGGTGTTCCTGTTGGACTTTTCCGCTTGCAATGGGCCAGTCTTTGCATGGTTGGACTGGAGCTACGTTAACAGGATCGCCCTTGCCTCCACTGCCAGAGTCTATGCAGGTACTCCTTGGCATGTGTTTTATGGTGATAGGGACGTTCCTTTAGGTCCGGCTGAAGCCGTGACTGCTGGCCCAGGCGATGTATTCAGGTTTCAGCCCAGTATGATCATGCAGCTTTCTAGGCCGCTCCTCTCGGACATGCTACTGGATGTGAGTCTCTGGCTTGATGCCCCGCCAACTGGCTTGCGACTGGCGACTGGTATGTCATGATGAGCCACGTCACACGCGTCATCTCCTACGCTGGAAACTCCAGGACCGAGGTGCAGGCCAAGGCAGCTGACGCTCTGAGTTCAGAGCTGAATGACCTTGTTTTCGGGTACCCTAAGCCCCATAGTCCCCTGTACGACCTGGTGTTTAGAGGTTCTCTGATGCGTGGGGTTTTCGCAGCCGTGCCCAAATTAGCCAGTGGGGCTCGCACAGGAGTCTTCGTTTTCGTGGATCCTCGAGCCATTGGCCTGAACCCTGCCTTTCTGCACGTTGCCGCTGGTGACCTACACATCGGCCAGGTGTTAGGTATCATAGGCTTTCAGGTGCCTACAGGCTTTCAGCTGCAGGTCTCAGGCGTCCCCTTCTCAGGCCAGATTGCCCAGGTCAGTGACGAGTGCACCCTGGCGCTCAGCTTGGTTCCCACTGTGTGTGCTGCTCCGGCTCCCCTGCAAGTGTCAGCTCCCCCGTGTCCTGGCCATCGCGATTCTGCATCCACCGGCACTGAACGCAATGCGGCGCACGGGGCTCGCACTACTGCGCGTATCTGGCCCAGGGCCTTCGGAAGGGATGACCCTCCACCTCCTGATCCAGAGACCCACCTTCATCTTGACGTCAGGGACTCAGAAGAGGAGGAGAATGATGCCGATAGGGAAGCCTTCATAGATGCGGGTTTTCTGATTTTTGCTCCGCGCTTTCAACCCGAACATGTTAGGCTCGTGCTTCATGCTCCTTGCGATGTGGACACAGCGTTGAGGGCCCTTTCGGATACACGGCACTCAGTTACTGACCTGTATTTTGACTGCCTGCTGCCGGCGGTTCCACAGCCCGACACAGCCTTTGGCTCTGTCCTTGCCGTGCCACATTGGGATCGTCGAGGCTCTCATGTTTTAGTGGATTCCCGGCAAGTGGACGGGCGCCTGTTCGCGATGTCTTTCCATGGCCGACTTAGCCGGGCATCTTTTTTGGCCAAGGCAGGTTTCAGGCAGATTCATGGCCTGGAAGTTTACTTGCATGGCCGGGCTCTCGACCACAGAGATTGGCACCAGTTTCTGGCCGGAGATACCGTCTTTGTCAGGCAAGCAGACGTGCCTTTGCCCCCACCAGTCGCCCTCGCGGACATGCTCCGCGACCGCTACGACTGGTACTATCCATGCCCACGGTTCGAAGGCCCACATCCAGTTGCGTTTTTCATCTTGACGGATGAAGGCTCCAGGGTCGTAGCCATAGATCCGGATGAGGTCTGCGCTACCACAGCCTTCAAGGTGGAGGTTGAGCGCGTTTTCGGCTATGACAGAAATAATACGTCGGTCTGTCCGATCCAGCCTCGACTGGATGACCTCGCAGTGCTTGGCCAAACTTGCAAGTCGGCCGTCGCGGTCACCCAGATGAAGTCACGCTCTTCCGCCCCTTCCGGGCAGGTGCCCCCACAGCTGCATGTATTGTTCTTGGATGCACGCCTCCTTCTCAAGGACATCAGTTGGGTCACTGCCTTTGATGGACTCATTGAAGTTCACGCCGTTCTGGAGCTTTTCCAACGGGATGCACCATTTGGTTTCAGTGTTGAGGCCACAGGAGCACCCACTGAGATATTAGATGGCAGTGTTTACTTCAGGGCGCCACATGGCTCGTGCTTGCGTTTGACCCATGTCCAGGATTCTTCAGAGGTCGGTTCTTCGGATGGGCTCACGTGCCGGGGTCATGTTTCGGAAAAGGAAGAGTCTTCTGGGTCTTCGTCAGACAGCGCGCCTTCAGCCTCAACGTCCGACGCCACTTCTCGGCCAAAGGATGCGAGTCTGGGACCCTGCCCAAGAGAGCGCAGCCGCTCGCGGACGAGACAAGGAGCCACCGACGGAACCAGTACCGGAATTTGGCTCGCCGGGCTCGCAGCTGTCCACGCCGCGTCTGCAGTGCCTGTCTCGTCCACCACAACCTTGTCACTCACTGCTCTTTATGTGCCCTTCGAGCAAGCGGCTGTCGAGCCCAGTGGCGGTCGCTTTTTGTGTGCAGTTGTCGGACTTGGGCTCACCCTCCTTGTCGGTTTTTTCTCTGCGTTGCACTGCGAAGACATAAGCTTTTGCAGGAGCCCTGTGGTGACACCGCCAGCTCTCAGGCGCATCTCGATATACCCTGCGTTCTTTCGTTCCTCTTCTTGGTGGCCCTTGGCTTCCACGGCTCCCATACGACCTCAGTCACTTGTTGGGGCCTGATTTGGATGATCAAGAGGCTCAGGTTGCTGGCATTCGTGAGGAGGCTCGTAGGGTGCAATGCCTTGTCCTGGCCTTCGATTTTGCGCCGAGCGTCTATCCGGTTGACATCTCCCTTCCAGCCACGACAGAAGAGTTGGTTCAGGCACTACAGCCTTGCAGGTCAGTCACACATCAGGCTCACCTGCCCTCTTTGCTTCCGGTCCTGCCCCAGCCACAACCAGGTTTTGCTGCCTTTGTCACGGCGCCGCACTGGCATGCCTCAGGTCATGGGGTCTGTTTCGATTCGACGTTCATTGACAACAGGATCTATGTTGCCTTTGTGCCGGAGTATGTCGATGCTCAGGAGTTGGTACACATCGCTGATTTGCCCCGACAGGCAGGTATCGCCGTTTGGATCGGACCTGATTTGCAGCTCCTTCCGCCAGGTCACAGAACACATGTCTTTCCTGGTATGCTGGTCCTATTCTTGCCAGAGGAGACGGAACCTCCGGTGCTACTGTCGTTGGGTCAGCTTCTGCTATTGCGGCACGTCTGGGGTTCAGATGTTGTTTTGCCTTCTCCTGACTTCGGTCCGGCTTACTGTCTTGCAGGACGTGGGCAAGGACAGCTCATGCTGGCTGACCTACACAGTCCGACCAGGTACAGGCGCCAGATCTCAGAAGCCACCGGAGCCAATTTGCATCGCATGCGTATTTTTGCCAGTGACCCACGGCCCTTGGATGTTGCTCTCCATGGAGTCCCCTGCCGAACGGTTGTGGCAGTTGGAGACAGGCGGCGCACCATTGTGCCGGAAGTATGGCACATGGCCGTCTTCGATTGTCGGCTTCTTGAGTGTGGCTGGTGTGCTGCTTACGTTGTCAACGGTGTGCTCAATGTGGGCAGCATACTGGATGACTTTGATGCTGATGCTCCCCTTGGTTGGCGTACTGTCTTGCTTGGCGGACATGCCTGCTCCCCGCTCGCCCAGGCCAGGTTTTTGCGCTGGCGTATACTGCTCGGGAAGGAGGAAAGCCTACTGCCCACAGCGCCGACACTGCTGATGCATCGTCTGCAGCTGCTTCCGGTCCGGCTCAGCGACAGGCCGATCCCGAGCAAAGCGAAAGCACCGAGGACCCAGAGGCTTCGCCCCTGCTACAACCTACTGGTGCTTGTGGTGCGGTGGAGTCTACTGAGCATCGTTTGCCTTTCTTTGTGCTCATGCCAGAATATGCGCCTGAGGTCGTTGTTGTTCAGACCTCGCTGCCGGTCACGGTCGAAGCGGCCTGTGCTTTGGTTGATGAGGCGAGGGATGCACACAATCAACACAAGTTTTCCAGGCTTCTGCCACCTCAGTTGCAGCCGCCGCTGGACACGCCTTGTCTTCTGGCGGTGCCTGATTGGCCCTTCAACGGCGTGCCCATCCTGATCGTCAGCTTCGTTCTCCCGTTTCGTCTATTCACAGTCGTCGTGCCCCCCGATATCTGTGTCGAGGACATCCTGCACTTAGCCAGGATCGAGACCCAGGATGTAATGGTTTTCGTGCAGGATCTGCCTTGGGCATCGCCTCTCACAGAACGACTGCATGTGCAAGCTGGTGCTTTGTTCACAGTCTTCCCAGCGGGTACGCCTGTTGTACCGCCTTTGCCGTTGTCGGTCATGCGAAGGATGGCGCTCGGCGCCCATTGCCTTAGGTCCCTTCGAACCTGGGGTATGGTTGTTCACGGAGTTGTCCAATTTCAGGTTCGGTGTGAACAGCCAGAGTGGGAGACCTTTGCGGCCTGCTGCAGCCGATCACTTGTTGCTTCCAGAAGCGGAACTTACCTGCTTACCGACCTCGCCTGCTGTGCGTGATCATGCTCGAGGGGGTTTTCCATCTGACCACGTTTTCTTTGCCCTTCCCACAGGCCTCCTGCCGGGTGTGCTCTACGCTTTGGACTTGCGCCCGATTTTGTTGGAGCTCCAATGGGCGTACGCTCCTAGGGGGCGTGTCGAGGTCTCCAGTCTGTGTGCCAGATTCGCGCATCTCTGCCCTTCGACACATTTTGTGCGCGTCATCGGAGGTCACTCTCCTCACCAGATGGCTAATCACTTTCGATATGTGCACCCAGGGCAAGTGTTGGTAATCGAATTCTGGAAACGAAGACCTTGGAGGACTGCGACAGACCTTGGACATCATCCAGGCCCAGGGGATGATCGTGATGGTCCGGATTCCGACCCTTCTGACCTGGCAGCACCCACGACGATGACAGTCTTGGGGAGGCCTCTGCCTCTACCAAGCCAGACGCCGGCACTGGCAGCACACAGAGAGGTGCCAGTACTACCGATCCTCCGCCTGCTCCCCAGGCACTTTGTGCACTCACGCACCGCATGCACTCAAGGGGTGGTCGAGTTGTCACGTGGAATCCTGAGTTCAAGGAACACGCCCTCGCTGATGGCGACTCAGATTTCACCCCTGTCCTCCCGCCCCGCCCGTGTCCATGCTACATTTTGACCAGCTCTGTCTCAGCAGCGTACCCGCGTCAGGCCCCTCTCAGATATGTGTTGGCCGTCCTGGTGCTTTCGCCCCTCAGGGGCCGGCTATTGGGCATACGTTTTCTGCTGCAGACTGCTCCCAGGGCCAGATGTGCCGTTTGCATACTTTGCCTCTACTTGAGCATGCAGTGTGTCGCTGGCACACGTTCGCCTCTTGCCTCCGTGGGTGGCATAGATGGTGCTTTCGTTTGCACGGGCTCGGTTCAACATGTTCCCCGGGCTTCCATCCAGGCGATCCCCAGACCTCTCGTCAGCCGGAGGCCCGCTTTCTGTGGCCCAAACTGTGGCGTGTCTGACAAAGCCCCCGAGGTCCGATCTGGTCTTACGGCACGATCCCCTGTGTTGGACGCACGGGTCGGACCGACGCTCTTGGAGGAGGCAGTCAGTCGTCAGGACTGGGAGGCCTTCTTCCTTTCCCGCATCTGGAGGTGCTCATAGACTACTTTGAGCCACAAGCTTCAGGTGCTTGCCAGCAGTGTCCGGCCCCACCGCCGACAGGGATGCCAGTGCAGGTCAGCCTTTGTGAACGACTCTCCCTCACGGCTCACCAGGCTAGTGTGCTGAAGCTTGAAAGCTTGGTGCCGGCGCGTACGTCACTCCCTGGTTTGGATTGGTTGGACACCGATCTCGGTCCTCTCCTGCGTGACCCACTGGTTCCTTCGCACAAGCGCCGACTTTTTGAAGCCGTCAAACTCAGTGATCAGGTTCCCGTACAGACCCCCTGCAATCGTTTGTTGGCCTTTTCGGATGGGTCCACAGGTGTTGCAACTGCGGCCACAGGCAACTGCGCTGCCGGAGCTTGGGCACTGTCTGTCTGGCTTGAGACCGATTTCGAATTAAATCTTGTCGGCCACGCGGCAGGTACTACCAGGCCACCTCAGGATCCGTACCACCTAGGCGAGCGCGACGACAGTCCTCTCACTTGTGAACTTCTGGGCATAGCTTGGGGTCTGATCTGGATCATCGAATACGCTTCGGCCTACTCCTTGCCGGTTGTGTGCCTCTACGATTGCACGGCAGCTGGCCATGGCACTTTTGCCGTGTCCCGTATTCCGGCAGAGCAGCAAGATCCCAGTGCAGCTCTGGCCAGCTTTACTACGTATTTGCGTCAGCTGGCGGCACAGCGGGTCTCTCTCACACATGCGCATGTGAAAGGGCACTCGGGACAGCTCGGCAACGAGCTTTGTGACGAGTTGGCCAAGCACTGTCGCCGTCGCCCACCAGACTCGGATCAGGTTATCCTGCCAGAGTGGCCGGCCGCCTCCAGCTCTTCGGATTTGCCAACGCTCTTTGCATTCGAGTCGGAAGCTCTTCGTATGCAGTCGTCCCCTCTTCCGACGTTGACAGACCCTGGCCTGGGTTTTGTGGCTCCGCTCAGCTCATCTGAGCCTGTTCCGCTGTGCTGCACCTTCATGTCCTACAATGTGCTCTCCCTTTATGACCCGCACTACACAGGCAAAGGTCAGGGAGGCCAAGGCATGCGAGTTGTGGCCAAACGCGATATCATTAAACAGCAGCTCAAACAGATGGGCGTACTGTCTCTAGGACTTCAGGAGACACGTCTCTCTAGTTCGGAAGTCCTTCCCGATAAGGACTTCATCATGCTGCATTCTTCCTCGGACCCACAAGGACACCACGGGGTAGCCTTGTGGGTGGCCAAGCAAGTGTCCTATGCGGTCGTGGCGGATAAGCCTCGCTTCTTGCAACAGGAGCATCTTACTGTCACGGGTCTCTCACCTCGGCATATCACTGTCCAAGTCACGGCCCCCTTCCTTAACTGGACCGTTCTGGTGGCGCACGGGCCGTCGGGAGCCAACACAGATGTGCAAGCTATCGCCGCCTTTTGGGCCCGTTGCAGACAGGATGTTGCCAAGCGGCCCCGTGGGTCGGAGGTGGTCGTCTTGACAGATGCTAATGCGTGGCTGGGGTCCGTTCCTTCTCCTTCGGTCTCAGACCACGATTCTGAACCAGAGAATGTAGCCGGTGAGGTCTTCCACCAGTTCCTCGCGGAAATGGACCTGTGGGCTCCCTCGACTTTTGAGCTTTGCCACCAGGGGCCCAGTCCTACCTGGACAGCGCCGTCTGGACACCAGCACCGTTTGGACTATGTCGCGGTCCCGCTCGGCTGGCCCATGGACTCTCTCCTGTCCTGGGTTCAGGTGGACTTTGAGGCCTTACAAGTGCACCCTGACCACTATCCGGTTGCCTTGCAGGTCCGACTGCAAACACCTGCCCCCGAGGCAACGCACGGGGTTCATTCAGACGCCAAGCGGTTCGGCCCACAGTTGGCTCGTCTTCACCAGTTTATGTTGCCCAGCTAGCTGCCGCGATTGCTGCTCCTACTGCGTCTTGGGGCACACATATCGATGTGCACTACAGCACTCTGGTTTCCAGTTGGCAGCAGGCAGGTGCCACCCTCCAGGAAGCAGCACCGCGCAGGCCGCAACAGGTGTATATACAACCTGCCACTTTGTCCCTTGTCCACACCAGACGGGGCCTCCGTGACTTCCTACGTGGAAGGCGACAAGGAGTTGCGGAGAAGGCGCTTGCTGCTGGGCTTTGCGGCCTTCCTGCATATTGTCCAGCGCACCTCCTTTCCTCCTCAGGCGGTGGCTCTCTATGCCAGTTGGATCAAGCAGGCCAGACACGTCATTGCAGGGGCGAGCGGCAGGCTGCGTCAGGTGGGCTTGCAGCTGAGGGCGGCAGTGCGCCAAGATCGTGCACAGTACTTGGCTGGGCTTGTCGAAAACATTTCCTTTTCGGACATTCGGGACCCTAAGCATCTCTACCGTGCAGTGAGGAGGGCTTTTCCCAGTGCCGCTTCGAAAAGGCGCAGGGCATTTACGCCTTTGCCGGCGGTTGCAGACAAAGACGGGGTGTTGGCCGCCGACGTCAATGAGCAGAGAGCCCTTTGGAGAGAATATTTCGCCAGCCTGGAAGCTGGTGAGCTCTTACCGCCTGGGGGCTACGCTCAGGCACTCATGTGTCAGAGAGCCGCGAACTCTTTCCAGGCCCCGTGCTTTGACCTGGCCGTGGTTCCCACCCTGACTAGTGTTGAACAGTCGGTCCTCGGCCTCAAGCACGGCAAAGCTTGTGGACAGGATGGCCTGACCGCCGAACTCCTGAAAGTTCATTCCAGTGGAGCGGCCAGGGCCCTCTTGCCCGTCTTCGTCAAAGGCATCCTGGGGGTGCAAGAGCCACTGGAATTTCGGGGTGGGGCTCTCATGCCCCTTGCAAAAAAGGCATCTGCAGCCTTTGATTGCACCAAATTCAGGGCAATCCTGTTGTCATGCGTGCCCAGCAAAATGCTACACAAGCATATCCGGACCTGCCTCAGTGCCCACCTTTGTCCACAGGACCTGCAGGCAGGGGTCCTTCCTGGTGTTAGCACTGAAGTCATCTCGTTGGCGGCCAAGGTCTTTCAGGCTTTTTGCCACGCCTCTGCCAGACCGTGAGCTTTGATCTTCTTTGATGTCAAGTCGGCCTTCTACAGAGTGATAAGACAGCTCCTGTTGCCGGTTGGCGACTCGGACCAGGCCCTGCTGGAGCTCTTTCATCGTCTTCGGTTGCCCCCAGCCTCACTTTCGGAGCTCCGGGCGCATCTCGAAAGTCTGGCCACCGTCTCCAACTCTGGGTGTGGGGAGCATCTTCAACGAGTTGCCACCGACGTGCTACAGGGCACGTGGTTCAGACTTGACAAGGATGCGGCGCTTACCCTCACACATTGTGGGACTCGACCTGGTGATGGGCTCGCAGACCTGTTTTTCGGGTTTGCATTCAGTGCTTACCTGAGAGCAGCGGACGAAGCCCTACTCGCTGCTGGTCTAGCCACCCCGATGCCGGCTCCAAGCGGCACTGAACCTTGGGAGCTCTCGGTCCCTGGCACCATCAGCTGCGGATCGTGGGCTGATGATTTTGTTCACATGCACTCCCAGCCAGCTGTTGCGGGTCTGGGGCGCGCTATTCAGAAGGTCACCCAGGTTTACGTCGAACAGGCCGACTCCATCGGCATGGAGCTTACCTTTGCCCGAGACAAAACCGCTGCCCTAGTGGCAACCAGGTTCCAGGAGAAGGATGAGGTTTGGCCGCAACACCCCACAGGCATGCCTTCTCTTCTCGAGGTCACCAGTGCGATCAGTGGGATCACTCACGGCCTTCCGGTTGTCAGTGCCTACTGCCATCTCGGAGGGATAGTCACGGCGACCCTTACACCAGCACCTGACATTGGTCTTCGTCATGCCTTGGCAGCCAATGGCGTACGCTCCCTTGGGCGTCGTCTCTTCAGCGCGCAGAAGATCCCGCTCCCCACCCGACGGGCACTGTTGCGTTCCCTGGTTCTGTCCAAATTTGTGTTTGGCAGCTCGACCATCAGGTTTGGGGCAGCGCTGCACTTTCGCACTTGGGCCAGACACTATGTCGCTTTGTGGCGTGCCCTCATTCCCAGGACACGAGACGCACGTCAGCCCCACGCTTATACCGTTCTCCGGACTGCCGCGGCTCCCTCTCCACCTTTGGCCTTGGCTTCGGCACGCTCTGTCCTCCTCCGTCAGTTGGCTACCAACGGACCGCATACCTTGCTGCGATTGCTTTGGGTTCAATGGGAAGCGGATCCAGCAGGCTCTTGGTTGGGTTCCATCGCTGGCGATGTATCGCATGCCTCTCTTTACCTGCCAGCGGCACGAGTCCTGCAAGCTTCGCCCTGTCCACTCAAGGCTTTGATTGAGGCGGTCTGGGATGACCCAGGCTGGTGGACTCGCCAGCTAAAAAAGGCCACCAAGCTTTGGCTCGCTGACTTGGAGTCATGGGCCTCCCAACCTGCACCAGTACCTGAGCCAGCCGCCAACCAGACAGCCCCGCCTGCTGAGTCCTCCGACATCGGCCAGTTCTTCCCCTGTGAGTTCTGTGGTGCCCTTTTTCCGTTGAGGAAACATTTGACAGTGCATTTGGCACGACGTCACGACGTCATCTCTCCTACCCGCCTTCTGGCCTCAGGGCCAACCTGTGTTGCCTGTCTCCGGCACTACCACACGGTAGCTCGCCTGCAGAATCACCTTAAAAGGTCGGGCGCCTGTTTGCACCGCTCTGCGTGTCTCTTCCCGCCTCTCACCATTGATGAGGTCCGGGAAGTCGAGTCACAGGATAAGAACAAACTCCGAGTGTGCGAGGATGAGTTTTTATTTTCCCTGCAAAACAAATTTATTTCATGTGAAATAAATTAGGGCATGTCTTTTAACACACGTCTTGCAGAGCATGTGATATTCGTTTCCTCTGAAACATTGCTGCTCGCAGGGTGAGGTGGGTGGGACCCCCAAAGTTTGTAGTTTTTCTTTTCGTCCGGGGGTAGTGCATGGATGGTGCCGGTGCTCAGAGCTCTTCGTTAGGGCGTGAGCAAGTTTCATTGCCTGAGCTTGAGCGAGACACCTTGGAAGCTTTGAGTGAAGTTCATTTGAGAATCGATCAGCTTCGTGCGGTGTGCCGGCTGCTGTCCTGCAGTCTTAGCCTTCTTGAGAATCGTGTACGATCTCTCGAGAAAAGGATTCCTCAGGACACCACTGACATTGATCTTCAAGCTTTGGATTGATGGCTTCTGAAGACGAGGATGTCAGGGCAGTTACAGAGGGCACGAGCCTTGCCCTTCCTGAGGACATCGATGCTCGTGGGGGAGTCATTGATTTAGACGATCCGCCCGCGCCTAGCCAGGTGGAGCACTTTCCCCACCTGGGCAAAGCTGTTCAAGATGCAGGGCTCAGTTTGGGTAGGTCGGTTCTTGATGCCAAGTTGCCTTGGGAATTGCCGGGGCTTGAACTCGTGTTCGGTCCATCCCTTCACAGCCTGCCGCAGTCGAGCTCTGACATTTTGCCGACAGCAGTACCTTTTCCTTTGACAGAGAGCCTTGAGGAAGTGTCAGCCTCACGCTCTTCAGAGCAGAGGGCCAAGAAAGCACGTACCAGCATTTCCCTTGGAGCTTGTTTCAGGGACGT